TATATATATATATTCTATATATATATTCTATATATTATCTTCCTCTGTTGTTAAAAATTGATATCTCGATACCTTTGTTGCTGTCCTCTTGTCTTCTTTGGATAGCCCGATGCCGAATGCTGTCCAATTTCGCTTGACACACTTCGCTGTCCTCGTCGCTGCTCTGAGTTCCGTTGTCGGCATCGCCGTTCTTATCCTCCTTGTTTATATTCTTAAGTCTCTCGTTTGCACTCTTTGGTCGCTGTAGATTTCTGCTTAGATTCGGACTCTTTGTGTTTCTCTTCGCGGGCAATGTCTTGCTCTGAACGTAATTGTTGATTTTCACACTGTGCGGATATTTGCTGTTGGCATACGTCACGATTGGCTTGGCTATATTTGGTTTTACGCTACAATTTGTCGCGGAATTGCTTTTCGCGAGTACGTTTGCTTTGATGATGTTCAAATTTGTTTTTGCCATCGGATTTACGGTATTTATAATTGGTATTGCCTTCCCGTCGCCATCTATAGATGGTTTGCTCGGTATTGTAATTTGACACGGCGAGCTTAATTTGCTTGGTGTGGGGGTTTTCGGCAAAATTCGCGACAAGCCGGACGGCGGGCGGAAGTCCGGGCTCATCAGAGATTCCGGTACAGGAACCAATTTCGTAGCTGCTTGCAGAGGGCTTGATGTTTCTGAGTAGAAAATTTTTTTTCGTTATTTGTAATCTGGTTCCAATATAGTTTTTTGATTAAAGATACACCTTAATTGACTCCTACCTTCCATATCTTGCAAACTATTGTTCGACACTTTGTTATTCAACGTACCGGAAAGCATATTGGGATCTAAGCTTTGGGTCATTAGATTCGAATCATGTTCGCCGCTCAATAAACCATGACACGAAGAAACTATAGTGTCGGTGTGACAACTGGAAACCATTCGATCTGGCGACTTCATCTTCAAGGAAGTCCTTGAAGAAGCTAATTAAACATAGTTTGCGATTATTAAATTGATACTTGTCACGCGATAAACAAAACGTTCGTCATTTGTGTAAAATTATATATAAATTGTGCTTGGGGATAAGAGTGTTTGACGCTAGCACTGCTAGCAGAAGCGCGCAAATGATATTGTAGTCTACTATAATCGAAATTATATCGCTATTTAAAAGGAAGAATGTGAACTATGTAAAAGGTTTTTTCCAAATCGTCCAACACTAATATGCTAACGAAATCGTCTAAAGTAGCAACTGTGTAACGTTTTAACTGCTTTCATCGGCCAATGGTTTGTTTTCGCACTATAAGCTCAAACAAAAAGCGACTGCTCACAAAGTACAAGAAAGTGTAGGCATATGCACGAATCTGATTTTTAATTAATTAATTATTTTAACTGTGTTGTGAAAAGATTACAGATGTGTATAAGATAGATAAATGGAAACGGACTAGTAATGAGAAAAAAAAATTATAATAAAAATTACACACGTAATAAAACTAATATTAAAAATAATATTGAATTCTCTTGCACAAGTACTGGAAGTAAACTGTATAAGCTTCATTAATTATTCGCAATTTATTTTGTACTGTAGTTTTTTCTTTAAAGAATAATTACTATATCCTCTCGTAAATCTTTTTTAGTTTTTATTAAATGACGTGATATAAAATAATTGCCCTTAGATTCTTGCACATTCCTACTATGGTAATTTTATTCGATAAATCCTCAGTTTGACCTTGGATACCTTTGCAAGGGGTATGGCAGACACAGTGCTTTGCTTCATAAAATTTTGGCGATTGTAAGCATTTATCTTCATAGTATGTCAACATTGGCACTAGAGAAAACAGATCATAACTAGGATGTGTCTGTATTGAATATGACGATTGGAAAATCTAGACCACTACTAGTCCACTTCTCGCAACTACGAGTAAATCGATCTCTAAAAATTGTTAATCTCAAAACTCGTTCTCTCTCGGTTCATCCGTGACGAACGCTAATGATAAAAAGAAAAATGATACATTTTATTAGACTCACTAGGTCGTCTGGGAGAGTTTGTCCTGTTATGGCTAAGTCTACGTCTAGCGGCTGGAGAAGGACTCATTGTCACGCTACTCAAGCTGTGCACGCTCCCGGCATCGCTCTGTTGATTCAATTGCTGCTGATGATGCTGAGCTTTGCTCAGTATGAGCCTAAGTTTCCTGTCCGTCTCGTTTTCTAAGGATTCACCCGAGAGCGGACAGACCGACGCTAGATATTGAGCAAGTAATGCATGTTCACCAACGCGGAATTGTCTACCTCGTCCCTGAGAATACAGCCACTCCGCTTTCAAGCTGAGTAAGCGTTATTGCCAATCAGTTTTCCGAAATGTTCATATTCAATAGAACAATTTTTTTTATATATAACAAGAGAAAAATTATTAGAGAAAAAGAGAGGAGTTTAAGGATGTGTATATTTTTTTTTTGAAAAACCCACCTTTCAATAGGATCAACCGCATAACCGTCGATTGACTTTAAGCTCATACACCAATTAATAACAAAAGGTCGATAGTCGAACCCACTATAAACTACTTGTTAAGAATAATACACGCTAATTGTAATAATGTCATATATGTTAATGTAAACTAATATTCTTATGTATACTAATATTCTTATGTAAAAATATCATGAAAAAATCATGAAAGCAAAATGTTAAACACGCGTGACACTGCTTGATGATATTTAAAACATGGAATGCTGTATATTGTGTTAGTATAACAATTCTTTGTAGCTATAAAATATTTGTAATATTGAAAAGTACAACACATTAAAAAGGCTTTACTACTTTCTAAATGCAATAATAATAACAAATGTGCGTATATGTACAAAAAGGATACATATTGTTACCTGTCATACACACACATGGATTATTAGCAATGGAAAAATTCACCAAGTTTTTTAGATTAGCCAAGTGCGACATTTCATTCAAATCGGTGATATTGTTATTTGCCAATGTCAATGTTTCAAGAGATGTAGGCAAGTAGCGTTCGCATTGGCGCAGTGTTATTATGCGATTGTTATGTAAGAACAATTCCTGGAATAATGCAAGAACATTAAAAACACTGAACAAAAAATATCACACAAAAAAACCATTACACACCTTCAAATTTCGCAAATAAGATATATCTGATATATGACTGATACTGTTTTCAGACAGATCCAAGTGTTCCAGCTTCGTATTTGTATGTAGATGTTCAATAGACTAAAACAATTATACAAAATAAAATGTTGCTTGCTCCACTCTATTTGTCCTTGATTAAAATAAAAAATTAATAAAACAAATTGTACCCGTACCTTAATGTTATTGCCAGCCAAACACAAAGTTTGCAAATTGATCATATCCTTGATACCTTCTATTGTAAGTATACCGTTATTGGCTAAATTGAGAGTAACAAGATTATATAACTTGGATACTCCATACATTCGTAGCAATTGATTTCTAACCATTGAAAGCTGGAAGCAACAAGAGATTAAAGAACATGTACATATATTTTTGAATGACATGTTTTAAATTAAGAACAGTAATAATAAATAAAGTATAAATTATAAAAGTACGTTATTATTAAGTTTACTAACATAAATAAAACTTTCACACAAAATCTAGGTTTTAATCTTTGTAAACAAAAACATATTGGATATATACAAAATTAACTTGTCCCATTTTTGACAAGAACCTCTCGTCATTTTAGTTTGCAAATTAAAATTTTAAATACAAATCTCCGCATGTGCATAAAATTACCTTGGTAATTCTGTGGTAGGAATCCAAATTATCGAGACGTTGTAAATCATTGTCATCTATGATCAGTGTACTGATATCAGCATCTGAGGGACACCGGCTGAGTTTTTTGAGACCTTGACCGCTCAGGTCGAGAGTGTCACACACCAGAGATTCTAAGAACAAACCACACATTAGTCGGCAATGTGCAAAAACATCTGATTTACATTTGGATTGGATTAAGACACACAAGGAGTGATAGAAAAGAGAAATCAAAAATTGACAATCATGTGCAGAAGATTGATATGAAAGAAAATTCTAGTAAAGTGGATACTGCTGATCATATAAAACTGAAACACGCAAAAATATTCTGTCTATAAATTCATATATAGTCTACTTCGTCGTCAAAGTGAATTATGTATGTATTATAATATAATTATTTAAAAAATTATAAAAAAAAACTCGAAAACGATCTCACGAACCCGTTGAAGCCATGACGAACACAGCAAATCACAGTAATAAACCGAAACTGATGGACGCCGAGACGTGTTCCCAGATGTCATTAGTTGTCATCATCGGTCGTCCGTCGTCGTCGTCGTCGTCGTCGAGTGTGTTCGTGACACCGAACAATGCTATCTGTTCTCTTTGTAAGCGCGCCGACTTAAGCTTCGTGCAATCTTTATCTCTTTTCCTTCTCTCTCTGACGCTTGCGATCATATGACTGTCTCGCTTTAAGTACAGGAAGTAACACAGTGCGAATCGCAAAAAACAGACCTTGTGTATGTTAAATTTTTACAAAAAAAGAGAGAAGAATAGAATTGCGTTGACGCTGCAATTTTGACAGAGAGTGATGTGGAAAACGTTGCGGTTTAGCGCTTACAAAGTACACATAACGTTCGCAATTCTGTAATATTGCAGGAACAAATTTTTTGTACACGAGAGAGACATATAGAACAAACTTCGCTCTGTTTTCTTTTTTGTTATATATATAAAGTTGTTCGGGAATTTTATAAATTTTTTAACGCGTGCGATTCGTTAATTTCAATCGATAGGATTTTTAAAGATGGTTAGTCACTTTGGAGAGGTAACGTTTCCGTCATCGCGGGCGTTTTGGGATGATGAAGATGAATATGAACCGGTGAACAATTCTGAACATTGTCCGTGAGTAAAGATATTATATTTGTGTATTTTTTATGTAGAATCCCGATCTGATTTGTGTGTGTGTGATATTTATATTTTCATATTATAAATATGACATTTATAATATTTATAATATTAACAGAAGAATTCTATATAACGTAAGTCTGCGAATGTTATTTATATAATATATACGATTTTATTGTTTCAGAAAATTATACGTAAACTGGCTACAAAGCAAGCCGCAATGTATAGAAACATTGATTTTGATGGAAGGAGATCCATTGACTTGTACTATAAAATTTGTTTTTACTATTTAGTTCTAACGGTTTAAAATTATTGTTGACTTATTATATAATGTAAGTATTATTATTAATGTTTTAGCTTTTATGGCGCAATCCTTGTGTCACAAACTGGATGAAACGTGCATCATAGAAAATGAACATCGCAAGAAGGTTTCTGTTATTTATAAAATTGACAAAGGCATGTATTTGTGTACTTTTTTGTCACAATTTGATACAAGAGAGGCGGGAAAATTCATAGAACAAGTAAGTATTTTGTTCAATTATAATTTTTTTTTTTTTTTCTTGCATCTTGATATATTTGTAAAACTTGAGAAATGTTATATATGTGTATTTGATTTTTACAGCTATCTGACTTATTGTTAAGCACAGAGAACACAATTGCAATAGTGTGTCGTCACATATCACAGTTTCAGAGTACAGATATTCCCGAGTCTTCATCATTTTTAAGAGTATTAACCACTAAAAATACAAAAAATGTTGCTGAACGCAAGATCGAATCATTAGAACAGCCAAATATTATATTTGGCGTTGGAGCAGGAGGTATTTACACACTTTTATGTACAAATATATACACGTAAAACACGTGTTAATCTTTTGAGAATGGAATAATTTTTTTGATGTGTTGAAAAGTTTTTAAAGGATCAAAGGCACATTAGAAATATATTAATAAAAGTTTGATATCTAGAATATTCCGTCCACAAAAGAATTAATTACAAATTAATCTCTAAATCAACTGATTATTTTGTTTCAGTTTTATCTTATGCTGAACTTGCAAACATGCCAGCTACATTATACGTATTATATGTAGACAGTTTCATATTAGATTCCAAATGCATTGAACCAATTTTACAAATTCTACCTAATGAAATATGTTGTAAATTGCAACATCCCAAAGTTGGGATGGAAAATGTTTTCAATAAAGGAAATCTTTACATGTAAAAAAAATTAGTTCATTTTATTTTTTTCATATAAATAAATAATTTTCTGATCTCGGACTAAATATGTTAATTATATTAACAAAAATATTACTTATTTTGAGTTTCACCAGATGTATGATATAAACAAAAAGGAAAAAAAAAAAACAAAAACCTCATATTACGCTGAAATGGTCGATATAAAATTAATGTACACGGTACATGTGTATACATCACATACAAACTTTACACAACAATTGTAAATTAACAGTATATTTCTTTCTTTTGTCTGTATAATACTTCGCTTACGGAATATAATACATTCGATGGCCGCACATGCGTAGTTCTATGCGTTCCGTAAGTGAAGTAAGATGATAATGGTTTTGCAATTGATATAACTTTATATTAGAGAGATACGCTATATATATATATATATATATAGTTATATATATTGCCTGCCATTATGGTTGCTGCGGATAGTAGCTGCGTGATGGACCAGCCGGTGGAATCGGATTATTTCCTGGGAAGTATGACGTGTTAGGTGGATAAGCATATGATTGGAAAGTATTTTGATTAGCAGCTGATGCCGGAGCTGCCGTAGGACGAATGCCGGGCGTTGGTGCAATATGATGAATTGGTGGTACCATATGATTCATTGTATTTACAGGTGGAGGTGGTACTGAAACGTTTGCAGGTGGAAATGTTGCTGGATAAGTTGTGTTGTTTGATGGTGGAAAATTTGCTGGATATGTGGGAAAATGTACTGTTGAGACATCTATTGGTTTAATTGAATCTGTAGCGTCAACGGTTGTACATCCATTTGCAGAAACTGGCGCTGGTACTGTTGACGGTGCTTCGATCTTAGAAGACTTTCCAGGTGTTACTGTAACATTTGTAATATCCAAGTATTTTAACATTCATTTAAAAATATCTTTCTAACGACTTCATAAATATAAGTGTGTTATTTTTGTTTACCATTTGGTGTATTAGATGCAGAATCTAAAGTAGTAGCAGGAACAGGTCGTTCTCTGCATGTTTCGCTAGATGATGGTATCATTGGTGGTGAATCAGGTGGTTTTGAATTATTCGATTGTGAATATAAATCCAATACCTGATGGCAAATATCTAAAAATACAAATGTATTTGAGTCGATTTCTAAAATATTAAAAAAAAAACAAACATTTTATAAAATACCGAAACAATTTTATTTTGAATAATTTTTACCTTCCAAAAGGTCCATGGTAACGTCCTCGACAAACATATCCCACCAGCGTAAATGTCTTTGATGTCTTCCTACCCAATCTACTACTTCAAACTTACTCAACTTTCCTGCTAAGTACATGAGAGCAACAGCTATGATTTCTGGCTCCCATTGTAACGACAATGTGGTACACAAACTAGAAGAAGAAAAATGTTTATTTTGTACATTTAGATACAAAATGCAGCCTATACTAATGAGAATTAAATCGAATCATATATACCTGTCATTAACAAATGTCCAAGCCATTTGAACCATTTTTTGCAACTTGACTTTATCCCCTAGTACATAAAATTGCCTGTATTAATAGAACTTACACTTGTGTGTGTTGATATGTGTGTAAGAATCTATATATGTTACATTACCTTTAAGACACTTTGCATATTTTAATAAATAGTTGTAGGGATGTTCCACTTGCAGGTCAAATTTTATAGTTTGTAATAAAATTCTTTCCAATGTCAATACCTCTTCCTATTAAAAAAATCGCAAAACATTTTGTTTAAAATAAGAAGATAGAACACACTTTATAGTAAATTACTTACTTTAGGATCTTCTCCAAATGTCATAAACTTTTGTTCCGATACTAAAATCTTTGCAGTTCGTATAATATCTTTACATTTCTTTGGAGTTTCTTCAACTTTGCCAGCTAAAAGCAAACAGCAGCAAGCTGTCACCTAAATTACAATAATACAATTTATATTTAGGAATGTTATATGTAAAGAATTTGATATATCTATATACATCTATATGTATCTACATGTTTATACATATATATCTTATTATACTTACATATCGTGGAAAAGTTTTAAATGAATGAAACATATAGAATCGGTGAAAGTAAACAACACCCGTTGCCATTGTGTTGTAACCTAAATCCATTTTTGTACCAGTGTCGATGATAAAACGTGCACCTTCCTTTCGATATCTGCATTCCGTTTCATAATCAATACCATCCTGAATGGACGGTGTGTTTCGTAATTCTTTTTTCTCGTAATACCAACAAGGCATGGTGAAATACCTTTTGTATGAAAATATGTAAATGTTAAAATCTGTTCTGTGAATAAAAAATACCTGACAATAAAACACAAATTAGAAAGAAGAATAGAGTTTGTGGATATTTAATTACGTAGTTCAGTTCAATTAACCTTGCAAACTGATCCTAATTTTTATCACTTGTTTCTACTTCTTTTTACAATCACAGCTAACTTTACTCTTTTGAATCTCTTACAATTTCAAGCGTTGCCGAAAAGTCTAGATTCTAAATAAATTATTAAACGATAAACAGTTAATAATTGTTTGGTTTAGTCCCTTCCTCTCTTTTTTTTTTCCAATTCCGATTTAAATATCTTCAGCCACCTGCACAAATTTTTGTAGGTATGATGGAAAACACATTATCGTTCCTTTTCTACTCCTCTACTGATTTTGGTGTAATTACATCACTCAATCAATAAACATAAAATTGTTTTAGGTTTTAGGTAGTCTTTGAACCACCAAAACTAATATAGAAATAAAAAAGCACATATCTGGCGGTAATAACTAACAAAGATAGAAGTTTCTATGATGTATTTATCTTGTCTTTACTCTTAACTCTAAGTTTCTGACATATTATTTCTATAAAACTCACCGAATAATTTTTTTCTTCTTTTAACGTGCTGATCGGCAATGTCACGAATCTTTGTAGCAAAAGTACTCCGTTTAATTCCGCTTTGCTGCAACCAGAAAGGAACCTTCCTTCTCTCGGTTATAACTATGGGTTAACTTCGACTGCCGCGCTGTGGTTGTGCAAACTTACGAAACACAAAATTCTGACAGTTATCCTTGTCGTCTGCAGCGATGAGAGAAGACTAACCTTGTTACTACCAGAGAGAAACCTGAGAGCGGCCATGCCATTGCAGTTTCTTACGACGGTTTCAACCGCTGGTTTTAGGCCGTATTTCCACAAAAGTGGAACTCAAAGGCCGTTCTACATTAAACGCAAGTAGCAGATCTCGTGGAATTGACCAATTGCAGAGTCAAATCAGCCAATCGACCAACGTGATTGATCAGTTCCACGAGACCTGGGATTTGAGTTTCATGGAGAACGGCCTTTGAGTTCCAGTTTTGTGGAAATACGGCTAAAACCAGCGGCTGAAACCGTCGTAAAAAATTACCATAGGATGGCCGCTCTCAGATTTCTCTCTGATAGAAGTATTATATATATGGGTGCACATTGGCAACTATACTGCGTTTAATTTGAGAAGAGAAGTTTGCTGCGCATAAGAGAAAAAAAAGCAAAGTAGGGATTGCGTGCGGGATTGGTGGAACATTTGCTGACAACCAATGGCTGCGAAGGAAGGTGACGTTTTGGTAGGGGAGATGCACGAAATGGACGAGTTTTCGCGTTCATCTGGTTTCTTTTCTCGATTTGAACATGGTATCCTGGAAGTGAGAGAAAATCGGAACACATTGGGTGCGTTCAGACAACTCAACAGTTGCACAACGGTTGAGAGATAATGGGTGCGTTCAGACAACTCAACAGTTGCACAACGGTTGAGAGATAATCACTTCTGATTGGATCATACTTTTGGAACCGCAGCAGATTTTGAAGAATAGTCCTATCATAAGTGATGATCTCTCAACCGTTGAGTTGTCTGAACGCACCCATTGTGATGATCTTTCAACTGTTGAGTTGTCTGAACGCACCCATTAAGGGTCGTCTACAATGGAGAGTTTTAGACCGTAACAGTAAGAAATTGACAAATCACAATCGATTATTCTTCTGTACTTGGTCTGTGATTGGTCCATTTCTTACTATTACGGCCTACAACTCTCCATTGTAGACGGCTCTGAACAGGCCTTATTAATTATTACGATCCCACACACACACTTCTGACTTCTGATAGCTACTAAAAATTCAGTTCAATTATTACGCTCTTGCGTGTACGAGCGTTACGTGAGAGAATCAGTCGTCGGGTTTCGATGTATAAAATGGCTCTATTTGCAAGAAGCATCTGCAAAACTCTGTCTCAGGTAACATGACGTTCTGTAAAATTTGTAAAATTCCAGTGTTCATATCTGTGAAACGCAAAAAATCGACATGATGCGTAAGTATCAATAATTTATCTCGTGCTTTTCATGTTGTGTAAAGATGCAATATGACATTTCTCGAAGCAATAAATAATATAATCAAGAGAGTTGCGGATTTGAGTATTTTTTTTTTATTTAAAGTGCATATGTATTTTTGATCGTTAGGTCAGAGACTTGTTTTTATCGTGCTAGAAATGTGTCTGAATATTTCATGATTATAAATAAGAAATATGAAAGTGTGTGTAGTATGTACATATACATATGTAACATATATATATGTAACATATATATATATGTGAAATATTATGTATTACACTTCTATATTGTTTTTGTTTGTTTAGGCTCAGAAAAGCACAGTAAGAGCTCTGCATGTGGGAGCAATTCGGCAGCAAGAATCAGTAAGGATATCTGTTTTTTTTTAATTTACAATTGAGTATATATCGTCACTCCCTACGTATAATTACATAAGTGTCACATATGGGATTTTCAGTTTATTGCATGGTGACACTCAGAAAGTCATGTTCTTTGTGGTCACCAAGTATTAAAAAAAAATATTCATAAGTATGGTAAAAATTTATAATCGAAAGATCCCTTAACTAGGGAAACTATGTGAAGCTTCAAACTTTTAAACTGCTTTCTTCTAAAATATATCTTCAGCCACCTGCACTAATTTTTGTAGGTATGATGTAAAACACATTATTATTCCTTTTCTACTCCTCTACTGATTTTATATACGATTATATGTAGGGAGTGACGATATATATATATGTATACACATCTTTTATAGAGGTTATACATGCAATAAATATACATACATGTATAATTTCTTTCAGACAGTTGAACAAGAAGGAAAGACAAAATGCACCTTGATACCAGGAGATGGTGTTGGACCAGAACTTGTAGTTGCGGTTCAGAGTGTATTCAAGGCTGCAGATGTTCCAGTTGATTTCGAACCTTATTTTCTGTCTGAAGTAAATCCAACTTTGAGCGCTCCTCTAGATCAAGTTTCCAACAGTATTGCTAGAAATAGAGTCTGTTTAAAGGTTTGATTTTCTCTTTCAGAATAATATATTCACAATATTGTTTTTGTGTACATAGATAAATAATCACTTCTGTATTCTTCCTCGTGAAAACTTTATAATAGCAGGGAAGTGGCCAATTCGGGGCAATAACCAGATCTTCGTGTCAATAAACTTCTTTATTTTAAAAAACTTGACAAACGTTTCGACCTAATTTGTGTCTTCTTCAGTGTACTACATATAAGTATGGTGTATGTGGTAGAGTATATATTTCAAAAGAGTAGGATAGAAATGAGAAGGAGAGTAGAGTCTAGACAGAGCAGGAAGGTAACAAAAATAACAGGCGTTCGCAAAAAATGAGATGTAATAGGATAAGATATACGTTAAAAAGAAAATTGTAAGAAAATTGTAAGAAATGTAACCAAGTCCCCTTCGAAGCCGAGAGGTATGAAGGTATAATAAACTAACAGTGTACTACATATAATAATTATAGATTATATTAAACAATCTTATGCAAGGGGTTGATAACACGTACTCCAAATTACAAGGTTTGACACTTACAGGAAGGCTCGTAGGTATAGGAAGAACTCGGTCCATCAGATGCGCAAAAAATAAAGAAGTTTATTGATACGAAGATCTGGTTATTGTCTCGAATTGGCCACTTCCCTACTATTATAATCACTAAAATACTTAATTTAAATAGTATATAGGTTTGTTGCATAATTGAAACACACATAACTCAAAATATAAATTGCAATTGGGAGAAAGATTAAATTTTTTTTTAACTGTAATACTCAAGAAAAAATAATGAAATAAGTTTTAATTTGTACAATATTTGATGTTACAGGGTATTCTAGCAACTCCAGATCACTCCATGACAGGAGAATTACAAACTTTGAACATGAAATTACGTAAAAGCCTGGATTTATATTCAAATGTTGTGCATGTAAAATCTCTACCGGGTGTAAGGTCGCGCCATCAGAATGTGGACTGTGTTATTATCAGAGAACAAACGGAAGGAGAATACTCTGCGTTGGAGCATGAATCTGTCAAAGGAGTGGTGGAATGCTTGAAAATTGTAACTGCCACAAAAAGTCAGAGAATCGCGAAGTTTGCCTTCGATTACGCTGTTAAGAACAATCGCAAAAAAGTTACATGTGTTCATAAAGCTAACATAATGAAGCTCGGCGATGGGCTCTTTTTAAGGTCGTGTCAAGAAATTGCTAAACTTTATCCCAGGTAGATTCTAATCTTTTTATCATTTATCGTCTGTGTAAAGTATTTTATAAATTTATTGCGATATGTTTTTATACGTATATATATATATTTTCGGAGATAGAATTACGTTCGAAACGATGATCGTTGACAATTGCACCATGCAAATGGTTTCCAATCCGCATCAGTTTGACGTTATGGTAATGCCGAATTTATACGGAAATATCGTAGATAATCTTGCCTCTGGATTGGTTGGGGGTGCGGGAGTAGTTGCCGGTGCAAGTTACAGCGCTGAGTGTGTCGTCTTCGAACCGGTAATATATTTGGTTTTATGTCTGTGTATAATATGAGTTATATTTATACTATAATTTGTCTAAAAGAAGAAAAGAAAAATCTCTAATTAAATTTATATATAAGTTAACATGTTCCTTAAAACTTAACACAAAATTCACTTTCTTTGGGCAGGGTGCAAGGCATACATATTCCGAAGCAGTGGGAAAGAATGTCGCAAATCCAACCGCGATGTTTTTATGCGCGGTGAAGATGCTGAATCATGTAAATCTCAAACGATACGGCGAGCAGATCCGAGAAGCGTTAAATCGCGTTCTGAACGATGGGAAGGTGCTTACGAAAGATCTGGGCGGACAAAGCTCAACAACAGAATTCACTGCCGCCGTAATAAACAGTCTACGCTAATGAGAAAACAACTTGTACAACTTATAGGAGAACATAGACTTTAATGTCGTAAACTCTTGTACTGAAATCACACTTGCAATATATGAAAGATGACCGTACGAATTGTAGTATTACGTCCGTTTTAGAATATTTTAAAGAAAGTACGTGTTATAAAATATGTAAAATATTAGCTCCTCGTTATGTAAATGAGAAACCTTGCATCTTTATTCTGTAATTTTTAAAGCTGGTATTACATTCTCGCGTTTTTGTCAAAACAAGATAGATATGTTGGTTGAGTTATTGAATAGTTTTCTAGAGAACAACACTAGAAAAATAAATGACTTTAAGGCTCGTTGAATTTAATAACAAGATACATCGTCACTCCCTACGTATAATTACATAAGTGTCACATATGGGGTTTTCAGTTTATTGCATAGTGACACTCGGAAAGTCATGTTCTTTGTGGTCACCAAGTATTAAAAAAAAAATATTCACAAGTATGGTAAAAATTTAAAACCGAAAGACCCCTTAACTAGGGAAACTATATGAAGCTTTAAAAACTTTTAAACTGCTCTCCTCTAAAATTTGCGTTTTGGAGTTACGGGATTATACGTAGGGAGTGACGATATATAAGGCCCTACGAGCCATTCTCAGGATGTTTTAAGTGGAAACTGTACGCGTATATATATACATACACATGTAACGAATTCAACTTGTAAATTTTTACAAGTGAGTGTTTTTTTGAGTTGAAAACTCAATTCTTAAAATCATACGGGATGCTGGATTTTTTGCATCTCACATATGACAGACTCCGGATACCCTCCTAATTTTTAAAATTTTGCGAAAAAAACTCTTCGGCCAGGAGTCGAATCTGGAATCTCTGGCTTTCCGTGCCATCGCCTTCCCTGTTAGGCCACCGAGGCGCTTGGAGTTGGTCTCGCAATATTCATACATATATCGAAGATGGTCTGATGATGTTGTTAACGCTAATCTTCAGTCATATGTGAGATGCAAAATCCAGCATCCCGTATGATTTTAAGAATTGAGTTTTCAACTCAAAAAAAACACTCACTTGTAAAAATTTACAAGTTGAATACGTTACATGTGTATGTATATATATACACGTACAGTTTCTACTTAAAACATCCTGAGAATGGGGCCCTCGTAGGGCCTTATATATATCTTGTTACTAGAACAATAGCCAATTAGATCTTTATCGTTAGCAAAAAAAACGCATTATAAATTACAGAATAAGAAAGCAGTCATGCTTTGTATTTAAAAACACGGAGAAACTTAAATTTCTCTGTTTAATTAGTTGTGCAATAACAAAGCTTGTATTATATATAATAAATAAATTTATCTTGTGTACATAGATATTAGTATATAACAATTGTTTTGCTCCGGTGTAAGCAAAATTGCTAAAATAATCAATTGGTCTCGGTGAAGTTGCTCTATGAGTCATAAATCATAGCGTAAGAAAATTTTATACCGACGAATAAATATGGTATAAATTAAAAAAAAAAGCATTATCAGTTTTCGAATTACATAATTCGACGAGAAGTAACACGAGCAGCAGATTTTGACACTTTTTTCAAGTAGTATTAAAAAATTTTAATTTCATACACACAAATATACATATATACATACACTTTTTTTTTATTAAGGTAAAAAAGACGCCCCAGGAATCGCTCCTATTAGGCTTAGTACATATATATACATACACACATATATACAGGGTCCGCCACTTAAATCCGGACAAAAATTTTTTTCTCGAAAAAGTTGTTTATTACAAAAAATATGAAAAAACATAAATAGACTGCTTTATAGCTGGGTTAAGGGATCTTTTCTAAGACATTTTACTCAATGTATCCGCCCTGCGCCTCGATCACCGCTTCAATCCTATTCNGAAAGCGCGAGCATGCCGTCTGCAATTGCGCACGGTCCATTTTTATGAATGCCGCTTCAATAGCGGCTTGGAGAGAGGCTACATTAGGGTGTCTGGCTTTGTTAATATCCCTCTCGACTACGCCCCACACGTAGTAGTCGAGAGGATTCAGATCGGGACTACTCGGAGGCCAGAAATCCTTCGACCAAAACTTGTCGATGTTGTCCGATAGCCAGTTCTGCACCAAGTGACTCGTATGAGCAGGTGCGCCGTCTTGTTGGAAGATATACGGCCTTCCTGCAGCTACGTCCTCCATCCAAGGCTTGACTGTAGTCCTCAAGATCTCCACATAAACCTCCTTCGTGATTGTTTCTCTCTTGTTGAAGAAATGAGGCGGCATGATGTCGCCCTCACTCGAGACGACGCTTAGGACGTGGACACTGGCTGGAAACTTGGTCCTGCCCACCACGGGGACGTCCTCGGGGTCGTGAGCGAACCAACGGTCATTTCTTCGATTCACCTTGGCATCCACTGTGAAGATCTTCTCGTCAGAGAAAAACTTGATGCGGCCAGCAGCTGTGTGTTTCAGTGAACACACGAGCAAATTGCAGCANGCAAGTCTCTTGGCCTTGGCGGTCTTGGAGAGCATCTGTCGGACCTTGAGGATGTAGGACTTGTATCTGAGGTCCTCTTGGACAATCCGACGAACGGTGGTGTCGCTCACCCCCAAGATGGCCGCTAATTTTGCGAGTGAAACTCCTG